AGTCATCTTCTATAAAAGTGTTTGATTTTTTAGCATCTAATGAAATCACACTTCAAGTTACAAATACATAAATCAACATGTTTTGCTTTACAGTAATTTCAGTATTTTAGTTGAGTTTTATATTATGGACAGAATGATGGGTTGACTAAATGAACAGTCGGGGTCTGCTTCGCATTTTGTCGGGGAAGAAAATCTCATTTTAAAATTGTTATATATGATATATATATTTCTATACCTTTGTAAAGCCGCCATTTTGGATTAAATTTTCTGAGAGTTAATTATAGATGATCTTTATTTACAAATAAAAATGTTGGATGAATTGACCGATCTATATAAATATACAAACGATAGTTCCAACATTATAACTGTCCAAATACTTCCTTGTCGTGTCGATTTTAAGTCTCGCAAATTCATTGTTAGGTATGTGTTTGCCACAACAGTGCAAAATATAACTTATTCATATCAACAGGGCAATGTTTAAAAGATTAAACAAACGACACAAGAGTGAATAGACATCATACAGTTGTTTCGTCCTTTTACGACCCGTCAGTGATGCTACATCTTACAGCTGTTTCGTCCTTCTAGGACTCGTCAGTGATGCTACATCTTACAGCTGTTTCGACCTTTTACGACCCGTCAGTGATGCTACATCGTACAGCTGTTTTGTCCTATTACGACCCGTCAGTGATGCTACATCGTACAGCTGTTTCGTCCTTCTAGGACTCGTCAGTGATGCTATATCTTACAGCTGTTTCGTCCTTTTACGACCCGTCAGTGATGCTACATCGTACAGCTGTTTCGTCCTTCTAGGACTCGTCAGTGATGCTACATCTTACAGCTGTTTCGTCCTTTTACGACCCGTCAGTGATGCTACATCATACAGCTGTTTCGTCCTTCTAGGATTCGTCAGTGATGCTACATCTTACAACTGTTTCGTCCTTTTACGACCCGTCAGTGATGCTACATCTTACAGCTGTTTCGTCCTTTTACGACCCGTCAGTGATGCTACATCTTACAGCTGTTTCGTCCTTCTAGGACTCGTCAGTGATGCTACATCTTACAGCTGTTTCGACCTTTTACGACCCGTCAGTGATGCTACATCGTACAGCTGTTTTGTCCTATTACGACCCGTCAGTGATGCTACATTGTACAGCTGTTTCGTCCTTCTAGGACTCGTCAGTGATGCTATATCTTACAGCTGTTTCGTCCTTTTACGACCCGTCAGTGATGCTACATCGTACAGCTGTTTCGTCCTTCTAGGACTCGTCAGTGATGCTACATCTTACAGCTGTTTCGTCCTTTTACGACCCGTCAGTGATGCTACATCATACAGCTGTTTCGTCCTTCTAGGACTCGTCAGTGATGCTATATCTTACAGCTGTTTCGTCCTTTTACGACCCGTCAGTGATGCTACATCTTACAGCTGTTTCGTCCTTGTACGACCCGTCAGTGATGCTACATCGTACAGCTGTTTCGTCCTTTTACGACCCGTCAGTGATGCTACATCTTACAGCTGTTTCGTCCTTTTACGACCCGTCAGTGATGCTACATCATACAGCTGTTTTGTCCTATTACGACCCGTCAGTGATGCTACATCATACAGCTGTTTTGTCCTTTTACGACCCGTCAGTGATGCTACATCTTACAGCTGTTTCGTCCTTCTAGGACTCGTCAGTGATGCTACATCTTACAGCTGTTTCGACCTTTTACGACCCGTCAGTGATGCTACATCGTACAGCTGTTTCGTCCTATTACGACGCGTCAGTGATGCTACATCGTACAGCTGTTTCGTCCTTCTAGGACTCGTCAGTGATGCTATATCTTACAGCTGTTTCGTCCTTTTACGACCCGTCAGTGATGTTACATATTACATATGTTTCGAACTTTTACGACCCGTCAGTGATGCTACATCGTACAGCTGTTTCGTCCTTTTACGACCCGTCGGTGTTAAATTTAAAACCTGGGAGGCGACTGAGGAATATCCAAAGTGATCGAGAGCAAAGTCAAAATCTGAACGAGGAGCAGCAGTCCGATGATTAGTAAATTTCGTTGATTCCATATATCCGATAGTTCTAGAAGAATTCCTTCTTGGCGTGTTTTGTTGATAATAACTTATATCCAAATTGTAGATGTATGATACATTAGATTTTGTTCAACTTTTCTACTTTATTTTATGTTGCAGGATCTGCATGAAAAGTAAGACCACACTTTAATCCTACTGTATCTCGTCGTATCAGGCCTTTGACTTTACCAAACTAGTAAACGAAAGTCCAGTCTATATTGAAACGGATAGACTGTAACTGTGGGACGAGCGACGTATATTTGCACAGCAAAGAAAACACGATGTTACACTTTCTTACAATATATATATTTATTTACACTACATACATGTACAAATATATGACATAAACCAGCTAATTACACCACATCGACACACAAACACACTCCCTCTTAACACAGAAATACATTATATGAAAGTCTCTGAAAGTCTCTGGGGTATCCCCTCCGTCCTTCGAATATTCCCAATGTACTCCTCTGGGTGGTCTAACGCACACCAGCTATGAACACAGCAGTCCGAACACTAATCCAATATCGCCACACACAATGGCTAGCCCAGGCAAAATCAAATGTGACTCCGAGTTGCTCAAACAAAGCAACACACCATCAACCGCTGACACCAAACACATCGGTGTATATGGAAGATCTTCCAGCACATACATTTGTCAGGATAGTTGGCATGATCTCCCGGTGACAACTCTGGACGATGGAGAACAAACGTCCGCCTCAGATCTACACACTAATGACCCTGTCATAATCATATCAAGGTCGTGCGTCGGCGGGTCTGGTCATATCCTCCAATCCAGGGGTAAAACTAATAAAAAGACGGAAACACGACGTAAGACATCAAATCCCGACGAAAATACCATAAATGGAACCATAACTACCATACTCACATTTCACTCACGCGCTTCCATACTTTTACAACCTAGTCAAACTGAGGTTTGTAAGTTAACAACAATAAATAGTATTTGGCATTAACAGGTAATCTAGGACATAAAGTAATCACTAATTATAAATCAATATAGACAGCAATACAAACTAACTAGATAGCAAATAGGTAGTCTTGCGGTCCACAATATAAAACAACCTTGTATATGCAACCTACGGGTCTCCATACATACTGATAATTCATATATCAAATAACATTAGGAAAGTTACCAATACTGGTATAAAATGATTAATACATTGCATTTATACTATTATTTTAATCATAACACCAATGCATAACGCTTATAGCATGCCTAAATAAACCATACACGATATTATATAAACATCCGAACACAATAACAACTCAGTTACGCTTGAGTGGACCGCACTACCTGGAAATGCTCGACCGGTCGTAATCAGGTAAATGCAGGTAAAAACGGGCAACATATATAAACAAGGGACAAAAAAAAGTATCAATACTCACCTATCTGTGTTTTCAATACATTTGCGGCCTACGGATACTGTAAATAACTCCGTACTGAAACTATAGCATGATTACCGCCATGTTTCAAAATGTATTCTCCCCTCGGAACCTCTCTCATCTTATCAAACTTACCTGATCAAGCCGGCTTCGGTAATATAGGGTGCAATCCACCAAGTTACAACATAATACATACTACACATACAAAACAACAGAATACGACATAGACGATTAGCACGCTTTATATGACATTGTGTATCGATTTGTGTCTATTTTTTGGGCGCTAGTAGTTCACTAAATACAGTAATAATATGTATCCTAGTTATAGAAGCTCCACAATTTCTCCTCATTGTATGTGACATCCAATACATCTATCGGTTTTCTCGATACCAACAAAATATAATCCTGGTATACTCTCAAATATTCCGTCACCTCGGTATTTCATTATATTCACCTGTCGTTGAAGATATCCTTCAACTTTAAACTGACGTAACATTATCAGTTTGTAAGTGTGAGTAATCCAAGACATGTGACCTGATACAGCTAAACTTTGACAGTGTTGATGCTGTTGTATTTTTGATAGCCATTATTTTTTTAAGGTTGCCCTATAGAGATCAGGTGTTTTAGGTGCAATTCTCACATTTACCAATTGTGTACATCCTTAATTGTGCTATCCTTTTAATCTGGGTTCATCTAGATCATTTATGATAAATTGTAGCAAACATGAAGCAAGGGAAATCTTTTATACTTACCTTACAATAAACGGAGATCTTTTAAAATAGAGATGAATCACATTGTATATCGCCTGAAAAAAACCCACATACAGTATTTTACTTCATGGCTGCGTTCATATATATGAAAGTTTTGAGATGACAGTATTATGATTATAAGGTTATGAATATTTTCTAAGACTAAACAAACGTTCTTTAGATCAAATAAAATTGCTAGTTATGTTAATTATCTCTATATAAACTGTAGTGACTCTGTTACGTGGTCCGGAATTCCGGCTCCGCGCCGGTTCACAACAGGTTTTTAGTTGCCGTGTTATGTTTCCCGTGGTAATCCATGCTCAAATTTGCTCCGGCAATTTTGGGGATTCCAGCCCCCACAGGATTTTCATCCTCTCTGGGTTTTTTTTTGTTTGAATGGAATAAAGAGTACTGAACCTTCGACAGTCTCTTGACTTCACAGTGAAAATCCTGCGATCCTGGTTTGGATAGGCAATTATTACCATGGCAGCATCATCCTTACCTGACAGCCCGGCATAGATTTCCTGATCATGAGTTACGGAGGACAAGAAGTGTAACCGCCTTTGCCGCGGCCCAGTATGGGGAGCGTGTAGAAAGATATATAACTAGACTTTCAGTGGTTGGGCGTAGTGTATATTCAATTTTATTGAACATTGACTCAAGTCAACACATGAACCTTGAGGTAGCAAGCGAAATAAGCTCCGAATTGACACATCTTAAGGAACGCTATAACAAAATAACAAATGAATACATTTCGTATCTCAACGGTCAACGTACCCGTGATGCTGACCGTGATCGGCAGAGACCTAATAGAAGCCCATCATGTTTTGGACCATCGAATTGGTACAAATGGTCTACCGTACGCTCAACACTTGCCTCTTGGATGGGTCATCATCGGCGAGGTTTGCCTTGGAAAGGTGCATAGGGCTGAGGTAGTCAATGTGAATAAAACCAACGTGCTCGACAGTGGACGTCCGACACTTTTTGAACTCTGCGACAGTGACATTAATGTAAAATGTGATTCGGTTTTTAAGAAAACCAGCGGAGACGAAAAGCCAGGTTTGTCGATTGAGGATCAGGTCTTCCTCGATATCATGGATGTAGGCTTTGCAAAAACAGACACTGGTCAATGGACAGCTCCTTTGCCATTTTGTGAGAATAGGCGAGTACTGCCAAACAAAAAGCCGTTTGCTCTCAGTCGAGCAAAGTCCTTTGATGTCAGTCTTCGGCTAAACCCTGTTAACCGTGACCACGCTGTTGAATTCATGGAGAATCTTTTCAAAAATGGACGTGCTGAACTTTCTCCAGAAATATCAACCTCAAACGAAAGATGGTATTTGCCACTATTCGGTGTTTACCACCCTATGAAACCAGACAAAATCCGGATGGTATTTGACTCATTTGCCAAATATCAAGATGTGTCACTCAATGACGTCTTGCTCAAAGGTCCGGATCTTTGCAATAGCTTACTTGGAATTCTTCTGCGATTCCGTAGAGAGGCAGTAGAGGTTACAATGGACGTAGAACAGATGTTCTACAATTTCAAGGTTCCAGAGAACCAAAGGGACTTCTTGCGGTTCTTGTGGCATATGGACAATAACCCAGAGCAGCATTTAGTCGATTATCGGATGACCATACATGTCTTCGGTAATAGCCCGTCTCCGGCTGTAGCAACATATGGCATGCGCAGGTCCGTGGAAGGTGCCGACCCAGCAGTAAAGGATCTGGTAAACAACAACTTCTACGTTGACGATGGACTTCTCTCTTGTGTTGATGAGGATGAAGCCATACGAGTGACTCATAAGACAAAGCAAGCATTACAGGACGGTGGCAACCTACGATTGCACAAGTTTACTTCAAATAGTAGGAAGGTTCTGGATTCTTTTGAGCCGAATGATCTTGCCAAAGACTTAAAGGATCTGGATCTCGGAATAGAATCGCTTCCGATCCAGAGAAGTTTGGGTTTACTTTGGGACACCGAGAAAGACGATTTTACGTTCAAAGTGTCGTCAGATGCCAAACCATACACTAAGAGGGGTGTTCTATCTACAATCAATAGCCTTTATGACCCCCTTGGATTTGCCTCACCTGTTGTTCTGAGAGGTAAATTATTCATGAAAGACATGTTATCATCTGCTAAGAACCAAGATTGGGATGATCCGCTTCCAGAGTCTCTTCGACGTGAATGGGAATCGTGGGTGAAATCTTTAACCCATTTGGAGGACTTTCGTGTCCCCCGGAAATACAGCCAAGTTTCATTTTCCAAGGCTACAGGTCGTGATGTGCACATATTCTCAGATGCATCCAAAGATGCTACCGGATCTGTCGCCTACCTCAAATTGTACAGTGAGGACTCTGTGGACGTTAGTTTTCTCCTTGCCAAAAGCGAGGTAGCACCAGTAAGTGGACACACTATACCTCGTCTCGAACTTTTGGTGCAGTTTTGTCTGTAGAACTTGCAGACATCATACAGGAACAGCTTGGATTAGACCCAGACTCTTTTCATTATTACACCGATAGCCAAGTTGTGCTTGGATACATCACAAATGAGACCCGCAGGTTCTATGTATACGTTGGAAATAGAGTCAGTTTCATTCGCAGAACGAGCCGCCCGGGTCAATGGAACTATGTTACTTCTGATCAAAATCCTGCCGACATTACTACTCGTTCCGTTGATGCTGCTTATCTATACAAAAGAAGTTGGATTAAAGGCCCAGAGTTCCTTATGTCAGAGTCGCGGGAATATGTTCCGTACCCTATAATTGACCCAGGTTTGGACAAAGAGGTTCGGCCTGAGTTACAAACCTGCAAGACCGAGGCCGCTGAAAGCAGCACGTCACTACTAGTTGCCAAGTTCACCAAGTTTTCTGACTGGGGAAGTCTTGTTCGTGCAATGGCATACTTAAAGCACTTTGATAGGCGTTGTCACTTACCTGAGGATTCTGGATCGCTAGGCAGCCGTTCAGATCCAAGTTTTCAGGAGGAGACAAAGCGTTACATTATCAAAACTGTTCAGCGGGACGTTTACAGTGCTGAGATAAATGCTATTCAGGAAGGAAAACGTCCACCTGCAGATAGCAGTCTGCTACCTTTGGCACCTATCTTAAACTCTGATGGACTATTGTGTGTGGGAGGTAGACTTGCGAGACTCAACGAATGCAACGTTGTTGATGAGTTACGTCGTCATCCTATCATCTTTCCCAAACACCTCATATATCTGTCCTCTTGGTTCGTTTCTACCACCAGAAAGCTTGTCATCAAGGACGACACTTCACTGAAGGGTCGGTGCGTTCTGCAGGATTTTGGATAGTTGGGTCCAAACGTCTCATTTCTTCTGAAATTGCAAAGTGTACCGTGTGTCGTAAGTTGAGAGGTCAGTTAGGGTGGCAACACATGGCAGATTTACCCGTAGACAGACTCAAACCAGCACCTCCATTTTCGTATGTTGGGGTTGATGCATTCGGGCCCCGTACTAGGGGAGGTGCCGCGAATCAGAAACGTTGGGCCCTGTTATTTTCCTGCTTAGTAACTAGGGCAATTCATATTGAAGTGATTGAAGAGCTATCTAGTTCGTCCTTTATTAACGCTCTCAGGAGGTTTGTGGCTATCCGTGGTCCAGTAGTGCAGTTCAGGTCCGACCGTGGCACTAACTTTGTCGGAGCTATAGAAGACCTTTCTATTGATGCCGAGTTCGTAGAGAAGCCTCCGGGCGTTCAGTTTCTTTCGAGGTCTAATGCCAAGTGGATATTCAACCCTCCCCATGCCTCGCACCTGGGAGGAGCTTGGGAGCGTCTCATCGGTGTGTCGCACCGGATACTCGATTCGATGCTATTTCAAAACAAGCACAAATATCTAACGCACGAAATCCTTGTGACCTTTATGGCTGAAGTGTGCGCCATAGTGAACAATAGACCTCTGCTTCCTGTGTCGAGTGATCCTGAATCACCTTGCATCTTAACACCCTCATCTCTGCTCACCATGAAGACCGCGGCTGACATAGGACCTTTTCCTCTTTTCGGACAGAAAGATATGTTAAAATCGCATTGGAAGCATATACAAGTGCTTACGGAGGAGTTCTGGTGTAGGTGGAGGACGGAGTATTTGCAAACCCTCCAGACTCGTAAAAAGTGGACTAAGGACTGTCGTAATGTTGAGTCTGGTGATGTGGTTCTCATGAAGGATCAGAGCTGTAGTCGTAACGAGTGGCCGATGGGCATTGTTGAAAGAACTTTTCCCAGTGAAGACGGGAGGGTCAGGAAAGTTGAACTAATTGTGGTGAAAGACGATAAGCGTGTTTCGTACGTTAGGCCTCTGTCACAACTCGTCACAATCTTAGAAGTGGACTGAACTGAATTGTGCTAGTTGTCGTATTGTGACCTTTCTTGAATTTCTTGAGTGTTCTAAATATTGTTAGTGATTTCCGGTAGAAATCAGAGGGGGAGTGTAGTGACTCTGTTACGTGGTCCGGAATTCCGGCTCCGCGCCGGTTCGCAACAAGTTTTTAGTTGCCGTGTTATGTTTCCCGTGGTAATCCATGCTCAAATTTGCTCCGGCAATTTTGGGGATTCCAGCCCCCCACAGGATTTTCATCCTCTCTGGGTTTTTTTTGAATGGAATAAAGAGTACTGAACCTTCGACAGTCTCTTGACTTCACATAAACAATTGAAAAACTGTATCTTTATTTTCAAAAAGCATAATAATTATCTGTGGTTAATTTAGTATCCTATATGATATATAACAGTGTTATTACCAGTCAAAACATGTTTCGTTTTCTGTATATATCTAACCCCTAGAAAACATTGTGTTTGCCAACAGGTTCGAAAACATTAGCGAAACAATTATATCGCCCTGTTGATAATACATTACATATCACATATATGATAATAATAAATCAATACTTTCAATATGATTTTACAACATATTATTACGAAAAACAAAATTTCAATATTTCACGTTTTGTTCCTTTTTGGCATCTCCGATACTGCATGGGTTACGATCACTATCGCCCTCGGCACTCCTTGAACCATACACAATACTACAGGGGCTACGATCACTATTGCTCTCTGCAGCCCTTGAAATATCCTCGATACTCCAGGGATTACGATCGCTATTTGTAGTAATAAAGTCCAGTCCAGTTTCCTTGTATCAGTGTAGTTTAATAAGTGTATACGTACAGGGGTATGCATGATAAGTGACAATTATACATTTCTTTTATACCAACAGTTCAGTAATAACAGATAGAGGTCAGGTATTAAATTAGATTTTAGCTATGACGGAGTAAACAAGTGTCACAACGACCACAACACACATCACATGGCCCTACCTATGCTGACATATGTACTAGTATTTAGATAATTAACTACATGTAACATTAGCTATAGATCAACAAAGACTGCTGACCATGTGTAAACCAACATATGATCGACTACCTTATCACAACCTAGGACAGTGTACATACACATTTCTAACTATACATTTGTATTTCAAACTAAAATACTTTATAAAAATTACGTTACTTAAATAACTTTATGGTTCAGCGGGTTTCAGGGGAAAAACCCAATAAATCAGACTGATACGCTTCTTTGGGCACAACGCCCAACTTAGAAGTAAGTGCAATATACTCATATGCGACCTCGAGATTGTTTATCAAGCGGATTCCCGCAGCACAGATACCACAACACATGTATAAAATGGCGTACAACAAGAGCAACTGTTTTTATTACCCAAGATAACAAAAGAGTTCCAAACCAGGAACGATAACTCAAATGGACACATAAATTTAGGTTTCACTACATAGTTATTAAAGTTCACATATCAACATCCCCTTTCCTGGAGATTGAAATAAACCAAAATAAAGTTTCATCATGATAATGCATTTAACTTTCCACATAGTCCTTAAGGTAGTTTGGTCTCTTAGGCCTTCCCGTACTGAACTCAGGCTCACGACACATTTCGCGAATAGGAGTCTGAATGTGATTAGTTTCATTAGGTACATTTGTATTGTCTACATTGTCAGTCTGTCCGACACATTGTGGGCTATGATCTCGCGCAACACTTGGAGCAACGCGTAGAGACACATCGCGAATGGGCGACAGATCGCGGATCCGGGTTTCTCATAAGCACGCGACTCCGCTTATATTTACAACCATCCTGACTTTGTACTTCATAGGTTCTAGGGCCTATGATTTCTGTGATCTTGCCTAATATTCAAGTCTTGCCCTGGATATGTTGGAAATAAACAGACTGTCCAGCAACAACTCAGACAGAGAATGCGACTTCCGATCAAAACTTTTCTTCACAACGCGTTTGCGTAATTCGCGCTTTTCTTTAATTTTCTGTGCGTCACGTGTTGGTCGGATCACACGTGGTAGGAGACTACGGGTTTTCCTACCAAACATCATTTGTGCAGGGCTGAGATTTGTGCCTTGACAGGGAGCGTTTCTCTGCTCAAGTATTGCCTCATAAGGATCCCTTCCTTCCTTCCGCGTTTCATTTTCTTGACAGCTGACTCACCTTTCCCCTTACTCTGTGGGCGCATAGGCGAAGACATAAAGTGGGTTATCCCCCATGATTTTGCAAACGTAGCAAATCCGTTACTTGAAAACTGGGGTCCTCCGTCTGATATTATCACGCGAGGTATACAATATCTGGCCAAGTGTTTCTTGAGAATTGACACCACTCTCGCAGTAGTTGTAGTGGGCAAATGATCAACTTCAATGAAATTGGTAAGGTAGTCAACAGTGATCAGGTATTGGGAACCTTGAATTTCGAACAAATCTAAGCCAACCTTTGTCCAGGGAACGTCCCCGTCGGCATGATGTTGTAACGGTTCTGGTGCATTTCTAGGTTTAGTCTCTTGGCACAACTCACAGGTGTTCACTAGTTGACGCATATCACTGTTCATTCCGGGCCAGAAGATGGTCCCACGGGCTTTGCGAAGCATGCTGTCATGACCCAAATGAGCACTGTGCCGCCTGTCCTTCATTGCGGATCTTAACTTTGACGGTATGACAATGGCTTCACCTTTTACTAGGATACCATCAGAGTAACTTATCACGTCGCGAAAGTCAAGATATGGTAACGCGCCCGATGGTACTTCATTTTTGTCATCTGGCCATCCGTCCAATACCAGTCGAATCACAGACTGAAGTCCTGTGTCCTTCGAGGTAGCTTCGCGTATCTCATCTAGTTGCGCGTCGGGAATGTCCCCGAAAATGTTAACGGACAGAATCCTTGACCTTTCCTCAAGCCGACTTTCCTTTTCGAGGTAGGCTCGATTGAGAGTATCAGCTAAGATCAGTGATGAGCCTTTCACAAATGTGAATTCAATGTCATACCGCATCATGCGGACCATGATGTCCTGTAGGCGCTTCGGTGCCATACTAAGCGGCTTCTAAAGTATGGCTGCCAGTGGTTTATGTTCATTTTTAACCTTTACCGCACGACCATAAGTGTATTGATCAAATCATTCCAGACCATAGAGCACAGAGAGGGACTCTTTCTCGATTTGAGCCCAATTCCGTGAGGGCTCTTGACGCGTGTTCTATGAGCCGTCCGTCTTGGAGCAGGACTGCGCCGAGTCAGCTTTTACTCGCTCCCTGCCATCTTTCAGTGCATATAGCCACGCATCATCATACCTTTCATTTTCAGCCTGGGACAAAGCATGAACCTTTCCCTTTTTACATTTAGCTTTGAAATGATTCCTTCCCTGGCATCTTTCACACACTTTTCCCCAAGCAGGGCACTTTTCCCTTTGTTTTTCATGTTTGTAACCACAAAAATTTCAGTCTATTTTCGGTTTCTCTGTTTGATTTGTGGAATGTTGAGGATGTTGAGGAACCCTACCTTCGTGTTTCCATGTAGCCTTTGGGTTATTCGTACCTTTCTGTGATACTTTGTTTACCTTCTGTGCTGTGGGTGTACTAATGTCTCTTATTTCCTTTGCCTGTTTGTTTGATTGTTCATATGCTCTACACAATCTCACTGCCTTTTCTAGTGTTAACTTTTCCTCCCTTTACAAGAGTTCTTGTAGTTTCCCTGTCGCTGTGAAAACTATCTTATCTCTAATCATGCGATCCTTTTCTTGAAAATTGCATGAAGCTGCTTTAGACTTCAGGTCTGTGAGGAATTTATCAAAAGGCTCCTGATATGCGAGATTCCAGAATCTATGTGTCTCAAGAACTTCGTTATCTCGAGGGTTGCAGTAGAGTTTGAGAGCTTTGAGCACTTTCTCAGGATAATTTTTATCCTCGTCGTTCTCCCATGCTATTTGGTCATAAATCGCGAGCACGTGACTTCCGGCGCAGTTCAAGATAATAGCAGTCTGAACTGATTTGTCTCTCCTATTACTGCCCGATGCAGCCAAATATAACTCAACTTGTCTTTTCCAACGCTTAAAGTTCTCAGATACATTTCCCGAGTTGATGTTTAGCTGCGGTGGAAGCCTCAAAGCGGACTGCTGTGCGGGCTCAGGTTGATAACTTCAGCCTCATGTTCAGCCATTACTACGAACGTTTACAGTTACACCACATTCAGAGGATATACGAACGAAAACAACAGTTATCAGAGTGCGTAGACCGCTTCGACAGCACTTTAAGAGTGCGCGAATCTTTTAAACAACACTTTCAGAGTGTTAACACCGCTGCACCATGTTTATCAAGCGGATTCCCGCAGCACAGATACCACAACACGTGTATAAAATGGCGTACAAGAACAACTGTTTTTATTACCCAAGATAACAAAAGAGTTCCAAACCAGGAACGATAACTCAAATACACACATAAATTTAGGTTTCACCACATAGTTATTAAAGTTCACATATCAACAGAGATTAGTTTGTTTACATCAAAGGATCAAACAAGTCTTTTCGTCTTATCCACAAGGTGTCGCACATGGAACCTTCAATTTTCTCATGACATGTTCCATTTCTTTATAAAGTTATGTTATCATGATAGCTGCTGTCGACATCGTGATGCTTTTCGTACGCACATCAAAGGATTAAACTAGTTTTTTCGTTTTGTCAACAAGGTGTAGCACACGCAACCTTTAATTTTGCTATTACATGTACCATATCTTTAGAAAGTTACATTGTTAAGAGGTATCAGAGGCGAGAAAAACCCTCCTTAATTGCTTTCATAAACATACTGTCCAACTTTATTCAATGTTAAACAAATTGACAATTAATTGTTTATGAAGGCACAGCATTTTCATACACATGGATTTTACATCAATATACAACGTTATGGAAGTAAACAATAAACCATTTATCGAGATCAACAGAGTTAATTTGATATCATGGTGTGATAAATTGAGGCATATCTAAAAAGGCAGATTTTGAAAAAAAAATAATAGTACCTAGAAATATATTTTTCTGGAAAGAATCAAAGGGATTAGGAATTTATGTAACGTAGACAATGGAGTGTATTGTAATGACGATAATTAAAGTCCCTTCAGAGTATTGAAAAAAGACTTTAAAAAAAGCTACAATGGTTTCAGCAAAGGATAGTGCATTATCATTTTAGAACAGATTCGTTCATGTTTCTCACATAAATGATAAAAATGATATTTTTCATATAATTTGAAAACAGTAAACCAACAAATGTTAATACTATTATAACATTTTTGTTTTTATTCTGCATTTTCATTTAACAATAAAAAAGTATTTATTTCTTTAGCACCCATTATTATAAACATGGAGGCAGACGACCGGCAAAATTTCAAGGGAGAAACTAACACGAAGCGGTATGCGTGAGTTTCCAAAGAAAATTTGAGAGAGATACAAAGATTCATACAGCAAGCAGTTAAATATAAGACAGACTGTTAAAAGATTGAAATGAAATGTAATAAAACAATTACTGCACTAATATTAGATCAATATAAAAATTTATGGAATACAAAATGAAATATCGACCTCAGCTCCCGACCTCAGTCTATATTTCTTTTTTTATTCCATAAAATCTCATATCGAACCGATAATAGTGCAATAAAAATAAAATATTCAACTCTTTTCATAAAGAACAGAAATATGAAATAAAACAAAATGAAATAAAATGATAACAACATAAATATAAAAATGCATGATATAAAAAATAAATGAGTTTGTGAATGAATGTGTGATAACAATGTGGTGTCTAAGGATATCATTGTTGGAGTGAGACTCTATGATAATACTGTGGTGTCTAAGGAGATCCTTGTTGGAGTGAGATTCTATGATAATAATGTGGTGTCTAAGGAGATCCTTGTTGGAGTGAGATTCTATGATAATAATGTGGTGTCTAAGGAGATCCTTGTTGGAGTGAGATTCTATGATAATACAAGGAGATCCTTGTGGAGTGAGATTCTATGATAATAATGTGGTGTCTAAGGAGATCCTTGTTGGAGTGAGATTCTATGATAATAATGTGGTGTCTAAGGAGATCCTTGTTGGAGTGAGATTCTATGATAATAATGTGGTGTCTAAGGAGATCCTTGTTGGAGTGAGATTCTATGATAATAATGTGGTGTCTATGATAATAATAATGTGGTGTCTAAGGAGATCCTTGTTGGATAATAATGTGGTGTCTAAGGAGATCCTTGTTGGAGTGAGATTCTATGATAACAATGTGGTGTCTAAGGAGATCGTTGTTGGAGTGAGATTCTATGATAATAATGTGGTGTCTAAGGAGATCCTTGTTGGAGTGATATTCTATGATAATAATGATGTGGTGTCTACGGAGATCCTTGCTGGAGTGAGATTCTATGATAATAATGTGGTGTCTAAGGAGATCCTTGTTGGAGTGATATTCTATGATAATAATGTGGTGTCTAAGATCCTTGCTGGAGTGATGATAATAATGTGGTGTGTCTAATAATAATGTGAGATCCTTGTTGGAGTGAGATTCTATGATAATAATAATGTGGTGTCTAAGGAGATCCTTGTTGGAGTGAGATTCTATGATAACAATGTGGTGTCTAAGGAGATCCTTGCTGGAGTGAGATTCTATGATAATAATGTGGTGTCTAAGGAGATCCTTGCTGGAGTGAGATTCTATGATAATAATGTGGTGTCTAAGGAGATCCTTGCTGGAGTGAGATTCTATGATAATAATGTGGTGTCTAAGGAGATCCTTGTTGGAGTGAGATTCTATGATAATAATGTGGTGTCTAAGGAGATCCTTGTTAGAGTGAGACTCTATGATTACAATGATGTGGTGTCTAAGGAGATCCTTGTTGGAGTGATATTCTATGATAATAATGATGTGGTGTCTACGGAGATCCTTGCTGGAGTGAGATTCTATGATAATAATGATGTGGTGTCTAAGGAGATCCTTGCTGGAGTGAGATTCTATGATAATAATGTGGTGTCTAAGGAGATCCTTGCTGGAGTGAGATTCTATGATAATAATGATGTGGTGTCTAAGGAGATCCTTGTTGGAGTGAGATTCTATGATAAAAATGATTTGGTGTCTAAGGAGATCCTTGCTGGAGTGAGATTCTATGATAATAATGTGGTGTCTAAGGAGATCCTTGTTGGAGTGAGATTCTATGATAATAATGTGGTGTCTAAGGAGATCCTTGCTGGAGTGAGATTCTATGATAATAATGTGGTGTCTAAGGAGATCCTTGTTGGAGTGAGATTCTATGATAATAATGTGGTGTCTAAGGAGATCCTTGTTGGAGTGAGATTCTATGATAATAATGTGGTGTCTAAGGAGATCCTTGTTGGAGTGAGATTCTATGATAATAATGTGGTGTCTAAGGAGATCCTTGTTGGAGTGAGATTCTATGATAACAATGTGGTGTCTAAGGAGATCCTTGTTGGAGTCTATGATAATAATGTGGTGTCTAAGGAGATCCTTGTTGGAGTGAGATAATAATGATGATGTCTAAGGAGATCCTTGCTGATAATAATGAGTGAGATTCTATGATAATAATGTGGTGTCTAAGGAGATCCTTGTTGGAGTGAGATTCTATGATAATAATGTGGTGTCTAAGGAGATCCTTGTTGGAGTGAGATTCTATGATAATAATGTGGTGTCTAAGGAGATCCTTGTTAGAGTGAGATTCTATGATAATAATGATGTGGTGTCTAAGGAGATCCTTGTTGGAGTGAGATTCTATGATAATAATGTGGTGTCTAAGGAGATCCTTGTTGGAGTGAGATTCTATGATAATAATGTGGTGTCTAAGGAGATCCTTGTTGGAGTGAGATTCTATGATAATAATGTGGTGTCTAAGGAGATCCTTGCTGGAGTGAGATTCTATGATAATAATGTGGTGTCTAAGGAGATCCTTGTTGGAGTGAGATTCTATGATAATAATGTGGTGTCTATGTGGAGTGTCTAAGGAGATCCTTGTTGGAGTGAGATTCTATGATAATAATGTGGTGTCTAAGGAGATCCT